GGGGAAGGGGGAGGAAGGGCACCTCCAAACCCCTGCCTGGGGTCGGGCAGAGGGAGCTGGGGCAGTTCGGAGATGGCCCCACAGACCCTTCTCTGCCGAGGTATGAAGCCCACCTGGGGTACAGTGATGCTGCTCATAGGGTGCCCCCCAAGGCAGCACCCCTGGAGGGAGCAGGGGACCCTGTCCCTGTGGGTCTCAGCCCCACGGAGAGGACAGGAGGAGCCCCAGGACCAGGTCCTGCTCCTGCCTTGAGGGTGCCAGGAGGTGCTGGGGAGGGGGTGCTGCTGGCTGGTGCCCAGGAGGACGAGGACCACCCAGGAGGGGAGAGGAGAGTGTTGGAGGAGCCAAGGCGGTGGGGGTGCTTGCCTGGCTGAGCTCCCACAGGATGCCGAGCCGTCCCTCCTAATGCCTGCGGCTCCCGGGAACCCACCCTGGCGGGGGGCTCCTGCCAACCGTCGATCCCAGCCTTGCGCCCTCCCGCCGCCGCAGCCCCTGGCGAAGCCCCTTCCCTGTGCCAGCGGTGTGGCAGTGGGCAGAGCTGGGCACAGGGCACTTGCCCTGCTTCACCCCCTGCCCATCATCCTTCCCGCCCTGGCCCCCGACACCGGCCCTGCAGGCAGCCCTGGGGAATCCACCTTAGTCTGCAGCACAGATGGGAGGGTGAGCCGCAATCCACCCAGGCGTTAACTCTGAAGCCTAAGGATGACTCGCGACCAGCAGCATTGCTGATTCTCTTCCACCAAAGCCTCCAGCTTTTTCTTCCAGCTCATCCCCCTCCCCCCCCCCCCCCCCCCCAAAGCTGCTGGCTCAGCTCCACCACCTCCCTCTTGGCTGAGTCCTTGGCAGCCCTCACGGCTGGGTCGGTGCAAGCAGCCCTTGCTGGGCTGCCCTGCAAGGCCGGGAGTGAGGGGGTCCTGTCCTGCTGGCTGGCACCCCCTGTAGTGCCCCCTCTCCCCTCACACTCTGCCTGCACGGGCTTGGCCCTGCACCCTGGGCACCCCCGGGGCCAGGATGAGGTGGGAGGCGCTTCCAGATGTTTCGGACCGGTGCACATCTGCATGGAAAGTTCCAGGCGGGGGAGGAGGGGCAAGGCAGCAGCACTAGCCAATGGTTGCCTGGCAACAGGGACCACGTCTCCGTGGCGATGTGGCACCTGTCGGCAGGGCTGATGCCACGGCTGCCATGGCGACGCGGAGGGATGCTCTGGAGCGAGCCCCCGAGCCCCCCACCAGCATCTCTCCCCGTGCTCCCCAGGGCCACCCAGGGCTGGGGACAGCCCCTGGGGGAGGCCCAGGTGCACTGAGGGGGGTCAGGAGCTGCCCCAGCCCCCCCGTGCAGCCACAGAGTGGGCACCGGTCCTTGCCGTAAGATCTGGAAGGGATGGCAGGGCGGGGGGCAGCCACCCCCACGCCCCCATCCCAGCCCGCTCCCTCCCTCGGCAGATGCCCGACTACAAGCGTGCCACGCTGCAGGATGACGAGGGGCCAGAGCCAACGGGGGATGGCAGCGCCTCTCCCGACAGCGTGGAGGTGAGGTCTGCCCCGGCCCCTCCATCCTTCCCCTCCCCATCCTCCCTGGCCCCCCTCCTCACCCTCAGCCGGAGCCTGCCCACAGACGGGTGGGCAGCAGGAGCAGGGCCGGCAGCCAAGCTAGCTCTGGCTGTCCCCAGGGATGTGCTGGGAGGCAGCCAAAATGCGGCAAAGAGTGTGCCCAGGCCATCGTCCTTCCTTGCGGCAGGGGGGGGCCACCAGCACCCACTGCCAGCTCGCCGGGGCTCGTGCCCTGGGGACCCCCAGAGGGATGCCCTGATCCCCTCCTCATCATGCAGCTGAGCCAGGCACCGGGGCACAGGAGGGGAGGGAAGGGGGAGCAGTGAGGTTTGGTCCCCCCACGGTGCGATGGCAGGTCCTGCTCCTGCCCAGGTGGGGTTTCGGAAGGGGCCGGGGCCGCTGCTGAGCCGCCTGGCCTCGCGCAGCCAGCTGGAGCTGGTGCTCTGCGCTGTCTCCGTCTCCCTGGCCCTGCTGCTCGGTGTCGCCGTCGTCGCCCTGGCCATCCAGTACCGCAGAGGTAGGGAGGGGCCCCGCGCCCCACCAGCGTGGCAGTGGCATCCCCCACCCAGGGGGACACGGCAGGATGGGGAGGGATGGGTCAGCCCATGGCTCCTGCTCCGGGTGCTCTGCCTGCCCGGGGTGCAGGCAGGGTTTGGCCCCACTCCGTGCCTCGGTTTCCCCCCGCACACGCGCACAGCCCCAGGCATGCCTTCCCTGCCAGATCCCTCTCACAGCACGTGCCTGACGGATGCCTGCATCCGGGTGGCCAGCAAGATCCTGGAGGCCCTGGATGCAGAGACGGACCCGTGCCAGGACTTCTACCAGTACTCATGTGGGGGCTGGATCAAGAGGAACCCACTGCCCAATGGGCGCTCCAAGTGGAGCACCTTCAACAGCATCTGGGACCAGAACCAGGCCATCATGAAGCATCTCCTAGGTGGGCTCCGGGGGGGGTCATGGCCACCGGGGGGGTGACCTCTGGGCACAGGCGTCCCCGGGACTGACCAGCAGCCTCCCGCAGAGAATGCCACCTTCAACTCCAGCAGCGAGGCGGAGCGGAAGACGCAGCGGTACTACCTGTCCTGCCTCAAGGAGCAGAGGATAGAGGAGCTGGGCTCCCAGCCCCTCATGGAGCTCATCGACAAGGTGGGCAGCCATCCGCACGTGAGCCCCGAATTGTCGGGGCTCAGCCTAGCGCATCTCCTGCTCAGCTCTTCGTGTAACCGGGGAGGGGGCAGCCCTTGGGGACGGACCCTATCCCTCCTTGAGGCGCCGGGTCTGTCTGCCAGCAGATCGGGGGATGGAATGTCACTGGCTCCTGGAACCAGACCAGCTTCATGGAGGTCCTCAAGATGGTGTCGGGCACATACCGGGCGACCCCCTTCTTCACGGTGTACGTGGGTGCAGACTCCAAGAGCTCCAACAGCAACGTCATCCAGGTTGGCACCTTGGCACCGAGGGCTGGCGAGCACCGAGGGGGCACCGGTGGGCACCGGGCTGCCCATGCTGCCCCTCTCTCCTCCCAGGTAGACCAGTCGGGGCTTTTTCTCCCATCCCGGGATTACTACCTGAACAAGACTGCCAATGAGAGGGTGAGGCTGGGCGCCGGGCACCCTGCCGGCAGCAGCTGGGGGAAACCCACAGCAATGGGGTGTGAGCAGTGCCGGGGCGCACCTGGCACCTGCACCCTGCCCATTGAGGTGGCACAGTGCCCAGGCACGGTGCCCAGGCAGCGGGTCTGAACCCCCCGGGGAGGTGGGATGAGCTGCAGCCGGGACTGAGCTGGGGCTCGGGGTCCCGCCAGGTCCTGGCAGCGTACCTGGACTACATGGTGGAGCTGGGCACGCTGCTGGGGGGGACCCCGGAGCCCACCCGCCTCCAGATGCAGCAGGTGCTGGACTTTGAAACCCAGCTGGCCAACATCACCGTGCCCCAGGCTGAGCGGCGGGACGACGAGAAGATCTACCACAAAATGAGCATCGCTGAGCTGCAGGTGGGCACAGCATGGGACAGCCTGGGGAAACCCTCTGGAGATGCAAGGGGGGGTTGTCCAATGGAGCACCTCAGGGTCCGTGCCCGCTGCTGTCCCCACCCAGGACACCCCAGGCAGCCCCATCCATTGTGGGACATGCGCTGGGTGCTGGAGTGAGGTGCTCATCCCCCTGGTCATTAGGATTTGGGGCGAGCTGCCACCCTGCATGGGGAGTCCTGGGGTACCCTCCTTCTCCTGCAGCATTGAGAGCAGCAGGGAGCCATGGGAAGGGTTTGGGTCAGAGCAGGGATTTGGGGTGCTGAGGGACCTTGGGACCCTCCCGGGTAGCACAGCCTCTGCCCCAGGGGATCCTCCTGTGACGGACAGGAGGGGCAGAGCCGTGCCGAGCACCCGGGTGCTGCATCCCCGTGTTCTCCCCCAGGCCCTGGCCCCCGCCATCGACTGGCTGGATTACCTGTCCTACGCCCTGGCCCCGCTGGAGCTGGCCGACACGGAGCCTGTGGTGGTGTACGGGGACACCTACCTCCAGCAGGTCTCCGACCTCATCAACAGCACTGACAGGAGGTGAGGCACCCGTGAACCCCCGCCATGCCCTGTTTGGGGTTTTCCCCATGGTGGGGGCACATTTTGGGCTCGCCGGCGGCTGGGGCATCCCCCGTGGACCATGCCCGTGCCAAGCCGTGGCATCTCTCTGCCCCTGCAGCATCCTGAACAACTACTT